AACTGTTTTATTGCCATGTTTTGCATTGTCATGGCCATCAATCAATATTTGGAATATATTTTTAAAGGTCTACTTATTGGGATTGAGCATTACAGGGGAATTTCAGCACTTATTAAAGAAACAAGTAATTCAGCCCTTAAAATCCCTGGAATCTGATAACTTGTAAATTGTACTGAAAGATGGCATTTCATTAAAAAAAAAAAAATCAGACGTGAATGCTGACAAGCAACACAAATAATTTGAGATATATTCGCACTTACAGGGTCATCTGCCAGCCATGCAACTCCAGGTTGGTGCTCCCAGCCTTTAACAAAAGGCATCTCTGCCAGAACCTTTTCCTTTCCTTCATGCTACTCCTTAGACCCCACAGTTCTGCTATTTTTCCCTCCCCGCTTCAACACCTAATGAGCAGAGGGGTCCTGAAAACAGAGGTGTCAAAGAGCCTGACGCTGCCTGTTGCCCTCTCTATGTGCTGTGACCACTGTCCCTGCCTCCCGATGCACCTTATGGACTGGGAACCAGTGCAACAAAAATCCACCTGCCAAACAAATGGGGGCCGGGATTGACTCCTGGCATTGGGATTGAAGGTTTCGAAGGGCAGATTCTACCATGAGTCTGATGCTAAGCATGTCCTCAGTGGGCTCCTACCACCACACGCCCATAGGGCTGTGCCTTCACTGGCATCATGCAGCTGTAGCAAGCAACTTCCCTTTGCTGCACACACATGAAAAAAGGGGAACTGAACTGCAGCAGTGCATCACTATAAGGAAACTTCGGAGTCAGATAAAACAGAGAGGGACATGGCTGAGGTTAGAAAGTGATGCAAAGGAAGGCAAGCAGCTCCTACGCCCTGGAAAAGTGCTATAATGTCATTGAACACCGGGGGGCAACCAAACACCCAGCCTTCGGGGAGGAAAGTACTTGATCCTTAGAAAGACAGCAGCCCCATTCCCTCTCCTCCTTGGAGCAGACACAGCCTTTGATAACTATCCCTTCAAAAAGCCTCCATTTTTTAGAAAAGGTCATAGATCTCTCTCCTTGAAAATAACAGGCAGGATCCTCTTATCTCCGTTTACTGTGCAATCCAGAGCAGAAAGCACTGAATTTTTTTCCCCACTACTGCAAGTACTTACCTGGAGCAACACAAGGCAATACTGCCTGGTTTGATGTCTCTGTGTGATGTGAAGTCGTTTCTTTAGTACACGGGTAATACATTAATGCATGGGGAGGTAAAAAGTTCATTTCCAGGAAGAAACTTCAGGAAATACAATTGATTAACACACCCTCTATACCTGAAGGAGCAATGTATGAAGCTGAAAACACCACAGAAGGCAACAGAATTACAAATTGCTTTCAGAAGTGGCCCTGAACATTTGCTGTTTAAATAAACAAAGAAGGAGCAGCTAGGGAATATGAACTGAACACTGGAAACTTAGAGGGAAAACTTTCGGTTTATAGATAATTTTTTGTAGCTTTATCATGCCAAAAGTCATTTGAAGACATTTTACAGCAGATACTTCCACCCTTTTCCTCCATGAAGCAATCCCTCTACAGTTTAGAAATATGGAATGTCATCATGGCCACATCTCCTGCTTTTGGTGTTCTCCCTATCTTTTGACATGCTGCAGGGACTGGGACCGATGCGTGAGCACCAGTGCCAAAGCTGCAAGTTCTGCCAAGGCAAAGACATTCATGATTCACCCTGACTTGTGTAGCTTATCTGGAAGAGAAGTGTCTCCCACAAACCACCTGAGCTGCTTGCTTTCAAGGAAGTCAAGGCAACAATGAAATCACTGAGAAAGACAGAACAAACGTTGGGGGAAAAAAACCCCAAACCAACAGCTGTGATGTTACTCATACTGCAAGTCCTCTAAGCAAGAGAACCAAAATTTCCTTGAATGGTTTGCTTGCATGACATGATGACTTGTTAAAGGGGAATAAGTGGCAGGCTTTCCTAAGAGAAAGAACAAGGGAAGTGTCATGAAGCTGGGAGACTTGTTTCCTGCCTCCTTTCGTTCAGCCATGACTGGTTCTGTTAATGTGGGAGGGAGGAGGGGTTGGTTATCTCGAGACATCTCGTCTTCATCTAAACGTATCATTTGCGTGAGCACGATGTAGGGAAGATCTTCATTTATTTGATTTTA